GTTACAATTGTCAAAATCGATCAGGAAAACGCCTTCGCGGACGTGCAGATTTTCAGCTCAGTGCTTTCGGCGCAACGTCAACTACTGTATTCATTGTTAAGTTCGGTCGTGAACGCCTACAATTTCCGTGAATCCGTTTAATTATCGAATGCAAGCAGACGTTGAATCAGTGGATTAATTCAACGAACTTTTAAGTGGTTCGCCACGGGTTCAGTAGAAAAACATGGTAGAACCGAATTGAAAGAACACAAAGGTAACATTTTGTAAGATTTTATTGGTTGGACCTACACAAGTATCACTGTGCTTACTTCTTGATTATTTCCCTTCAGGCAGTGCATTGATATTACGACTGGAATAAGGTCAAAGATATTAGTGTGGATTTAAGAGAACATCATTTTGCCTATTATTAACGTGCGAAGGTTTTCCTTCTTGGTCGATCGAAGAAGCGCGAGAGAATATAGATTTTTTGATCGAAGCAATGGCAATCTACTCCCCAATAAAAGTGTTTGGGTTAGGCTAAATTAAAGGGAAGGAGACAATAATTTGTCTTTCATACCCACTATATAAGAAATAATAATAGACCTAAATGCATGATGGCGATGATGGTGAGGAAGATGATGAAGATGATAATGATGATGATGATGAATATGATGCCATTATAATAAAAATAGGCCTAAAAATATAATCTAATTAAAATAAAACAAACAACATGCTTTCAAAAGGCGTCTGTTTTTTTTTTTTCAAATTTGTTTCACCATTCATCGTACAGTCTTGATCATAAAGAAAGCCCACCAAAATTCGAATAGAACTAAGGAGAGGAGGCCACGAGTTCGACCAAAAAAAAGTGTAGCAAAGACCTAACAAAATTGTTTCATAAAACAAAGATTTTCACACAGAAAGTGATTTATATATCACCTAATACATTGTTGGTACGACACCAAGCACACCTGAGAATCTAGTCAGACTTATTTATCATGAAGAGAAACGTCAAAATGTGTCGTATGTCGAAAATAAATTATCAGTGAGGCGTGTATAAACAAAACACTAGAACACATGATTTACAGGAAAGATTATACTTATCGTCGATTGCTATTTTATGCTTGAATATAAGAAAAATATACAAGAAAGCAGATAACAACAAGCCATACTGTACGACTCGTCCACATTGATTTATTGTTTCTTTATTCACGTAAATCAAATTTGTTGTTATCGAAACTAGCTGGTGGTATTGTAACCTATTAATTGCTTTTCTGAAACCATTTCGTACAATCATGAGAAGAAAAACAAGTCGTTTTTTATCAACGCAGGTAAGAAATTAAAGTTAAATTTCATCAGACCCTCTCGTAAAATATATTAAAGTGGCCAAAATCCACGCTTTCAAACGAATAAAAAAAAAAACCCGCTACACGTGTCACTCGCGCGCACAATAATTTCAGACGACTATCAGACGCGGATGCTTGTGAACCTGACAACGCGCTGTATATCTTTTATATCACGTTCAGTTTCAAGTACTATAATTTAAAAAAACATCCCGAATGTCAGTTACACAACCTGATAGCTTTTGATGTACCAAAGTAAGACAATATAGAATAAAAAGTTCATTTTTAACCACAAGCTGAAGGAGTTCAGTAACAGAAATTGAATGATAGATGTAATCGTAAGTTTTATCAAAATCTCTATATGAACAATATTGTAACAACAAAACGATTCTTTATGACGTTTATGGACATATTGGAAAACAAGTCGCGGAACATCCACTAAAACACTATGTAGAGACCAAGGTTGAAAGACTTGCCTATCTTAGAATGGTTAGGCCAGTATTTTAAAAATACATGTGGATGAATATGAATGGAAATTCAAAATGACGTCATCTCATCGAAGTATCCAATTTCATATCATAACGGTCACATTGCTATTAATGTTACGCTGTATGCTCTAAAATCTGGAAAACTCCCAATAATTCAATTAAATCATTGAATTACTCATTTACAAGAATCAACGTTCAATGAGACACACACCGAAACAATTATGTTTTCCCTGATATACAGACGCTCTACGTCGAAAAAGCTTTAATTGATTACCTGCTATTTTTAGAGCCGTAAGATTATAGGAATGTTGTTATTAAACATAGCCTATATGTTAGTGGGAGAGGAAATATTTCTCGTTCTAATTTTTATTATAAGTCTACAAAGTGACCAATTTAATCGATAATTTTATCGTCCAAGTTTCTCACCTCAATATAGAGAGTATAGGTTAGTAATACGAGGAGCTTCCAAGAACGCCCATAAAACGCCACCTACGCTTGTGGTGTAGGAAACATGTATATATATTCGAGTGATCATGTTTGTTTGCGTTTTATTGATTTATAAGTAAACTCTGTTATAAATTTGTCACCAATAAGAATCAAAAGAGGGGATGTTAGACAACTGTGATGACAGATATTGCCAAATGTGGTCATCAGCGGGCAAACAAACATCCATTATTATCTAGTGTGGTTATCTGGTTCACGAATTGAGTGAACACATTATTTTGGAATTTAGATTTAATAAAATAAGTATTTTAATTGCCTGTACTATTCTGGCTGTGGTGTTACTTTTGATGAATTATTATTGGCAACATTAATTATATATATGTTTATAACAAATATCCCTTATTATCTAGTGTAGTTATCTGGTTCATAAATTGATTGAACTCAGATTTTAGAATTTAGGCTAATAAAAAGTTTCTGTTTGACTGTACTATGCTAGTTGTGCACGGTTACCTTTGATAAGACATGGTATTGGAGACAACATCACATAAACAATATAGTATAAATAAACAGTTAGAAAATGAGGAATTGATAAGGAGAATGTCGAAAGTCAATATAACAAATACATGGCAAGATGAATTATTGAACAGACTTCCCAATGAAGAGCACCGCTATCGATGGAAGCAATCGCAACTTGAATGTGTTGCTACTACAAATACACATTACGCGTGTCCCATTTAACTAATTCTTTGAAATATTTCGATTGATTGTTCCTGTCAAAATTGTTCCTGTCAAAATTGTATTATGCTACTCAGTAGATCAACAAGGATGGTTACAATCCAAAGCCACAAACATCTGAGGAAATTCAATTAATATTTCTGTTATCATTGTTAAGCTGATGATTATTATAAACGTTGATAATTGATTTCATCTTTACTGGAGAACACTTCGATATTAGTCTATATAGGCATATGTATTTTATATATTAAACATTCACAAAGATAAGAGAAAAATAGGCTATAGTTTTGTATAAACGTTCTTTATCTTATGATTTATGATTAAAACACTTCCATGTTGAAAATAGACAAACAAGAAAACAATAATAATAATAATAATAATAATAATAATAATAACAATAATAATAATAACAATAATAATAATAGTAATAGTAATAATAATAATAAGAAGAATCAAGCAAAAGGAAAAAAAAAACAAAGTAAAAATCAAAAGAAATATGTGTATCATACTTCACATCGATCGTACAGCAGCGAACGTGCGAAGCTCAAATACGTTCATGCCAAAAATCATGTTAAATGTGACATGCCCGACAACTGAGGGTAGACACGTCCCCCGGGGGAATATCACAGGAAAGATTTGTGTTGTACTTCCTATAGAGGTTCCGAGCACTTTGTAATCTCCATACTTCTATCAAACATACATTTATCATCGGCGATAAGTTTAGAATGATAATGAATGTTTCCGTTATCTTGCTTTTATATTCTGACTCAAAATGATCCGAAGTTCGCATTATTTCCTAGCCGGACATACAGCGCCAACATTTACCTTCGTTTCTCCAAGTAAATCACACCTCAATATGTATTTTACAGCCCCCTCTATATTTCTTACCACCTCGTGCTTTCCAAAGATTAAACTGAAGTGAAAACACCTAGGCGGCATGACACATATTTGATACAGAAACATCTAATAATCAACTCGGTAAACTATTGGAATTTATTCCTCAATATCGCCTGCAGGTTCGGGGCAGCATGAAAACATCTGAGGATGTATGGTATTTTAATGGAAAAATGAATAATCTTTAGAGACACGTGGTCTGGTGAATCGTTTTTAAATGCGGGTCTACTGTTCAGGAAAAGAACGCAAACGATAGGCTTACCATTTATTATTTTGTAAAAAGAAGTTACATTGTAATAGCCCTTCATCTCAATGTGGCACTTTCAATAGCTGCACGTATCTACACAACGTCAATATCCACTCCAAACGCACAGGTGCACATACCGAATCTGCATCGCGATATGATACAGCTACACGTAGCCATTTTAACGCAGACAGAAGTGCTAGACTGGCAGCGCATGCGTCATCATCAGCGCATAAAATTTTCGTCAAAGGTAACACTCACCATACAACAAGTGCACCCGATGATTTGATGTCTTCACTTACTGACATCTTACGCTCTGCACGCATCCTGTTCTTCGAGTATGATTATTTTCAACTTTTTAATTGACTAACCTTTTTACTACAGCTTACTTCCGAATTGTTCTGTAGCTAATCAAGTACAGTAAGAACCCCAGACATAATAAACCAGCCCCTTAATTTTGTGTTCATTGTGACTTAAACTGTAGTTTCTTAAACAGCAAATTGCGCCATTAATCGCATTTATTACTGTTCACCGTTTCAAACAGTGTTTTTCGCACGAACTTTTCACACATAAAAAGTGAAATAAAACTTTCGCTCCATAAGTGGATCAAATCCTCTGGGAAGATATCCCTCGCAATGTTAAAACCACCAAAAGTTGTCTACAATTTAATTATTATATTTTGAAACGTTTATAAGCCCACAGAATTGGAGGATGATTAGAGCTTGATTAAACAATTACTTTCCTGTAAGTCGGGTCCATTTCAGCTCTCATCTCGGCTTCCCAGCTGGTGCGGTTGTCACACTCGATGCTGATTGGTCGCAAGGGACCCTTTGGTCATGACGTCGGACTATTTCTAATAGGCCTACCGATAGCTCGCTGTAAATGCTATATTATTTTTGGAAAGGCTGCATATATATTCTACTGCCATAAAACTTCGACACGAAACGAGTCACCTGCTTTGAAACCAATGCGATTTTACTTTCATGCTTACTACGGAAACGACGAGTATACTATAGTGTTAACTGAAGAGTAAAGGCGGTCGTTCATGCATCGCTGATATTTGCAGTTCAATAGAGTACATCAAGTCGAGGAATTTAGATCAACTTTGGAAATAGCTCCGATAAATTCAGAACAGTACTCTATACGGACTTACTTGCACTAAGTTGTCAATTTGCTGTTTGTTAAAAGTATTTTGGTCTACATTGTGTTTGAATAGCTTCAGCAATCGCTAATTTATACATCCTAGAAGGATTTTACAGGAGTTTTTTTTATGAAGGGTGTTCAACGCTCAATTGACTAAAGGAAGTAAAGTTCCATTTACTGGTGAAAAGTTACTGTACTTCTGTTTTGGTTGATGTTCATCCCATGTTTTAAATTACTGCGAGGCAACAGGTCCGATAAATGAAAATTCGGCAGTTTTTTAAAATACCGCCGATAGGGAATTCTGCGTAGGCAGAAACATCAGAATATTTTATCGTCAATCTCCAACGTGTGTGTTACCAGTAGGTTAATTAATTACAAACCATGATGAATGTGAAAGTGTGGGCCGTGTTTTTATTAATGACAATCGTAGCTGACGCTGAGCTCACAGAATTGCAAGAAATTCTCTCAGGAAAACCAGCAGTGAGCTCAAAGCCTGACGACCTATTTGCAAGCCTTCAGGCAAACCCAGCATCGCGGGATCCCGTAGGCCGGCTCAGAAAGAACAAGTCTAACCTTAAGCCCCATCGCTATATTCTAAGGATATTGGAGCCACTGGTCAAGAATGATACGGCACTAGAAAAAGGGAGCACTGTCTACAGTTTTGCGGCTGAAAAAAGTAAGTAAGCCGAGAATGATTAAAAAAAAAACATTAGGCCTGTTGAGGCACCGTAGTTCTAAAATTAGGTATTAGTTAGCAACATGCAGTACTAGTGCTAATAATAGTAATTTGCCTCATTGTGCTCATATTTAGGCAATAGATTTATATTTAATGCAACTATCCTTAGCAACAGTTTTTGAGAGTTTTTGGAGCGCATCCTGTATTTTGCAACTAGGACTGAATTTTTTTATGACAAAATTTAATGAGATCAAACCCCATTACCAAGCTACAGGTCTTTTGTAAGGTCACGGACTGGCTGACCACCAAGTGTGAATAATGACTATGTTGTGTGGCATTAATAAATGAGAAGTGAATATTATAGCTCTTATAGGTCTGCGTTATATAGGCCTATATTTGGTATTATAGTCCTTGAGTAAACCTAATTATATATTATAATTATATACTATTATTATTCAAATAACTATACATTTACATAATACATAAATATTGTTAAAAATCGTCGCCCGATGTCATAAGTTACGATTAGTATTATATACGGTATATTGTCGTTGTTATGGTAACGTATATTGAATAAACGTATTACCGCTTATGGAAACGAAGCAGAATCAGTTTAGGTCTATATAAATTGAAAAATACGCCTGGATTTAAAGTCACAAATCTGAAAGTGAAATAACATTGTCTAAAATAAGAGGGGACATGTTTTTAAGGGATAGACATGGTTAAAGAGGACGGTGAAATGGAATGATTTTACTTAGAAGGGGAACATGCGTAGCATATGATGTGAAGAACATTACCTTAGAAAGGGAGATGATGATATGTATCAAGGAGATACTAATTTATGTTACCGTATTTATTCGAATAAACGTTTACTGTTGAGAAGGGTTTTTGCGGGGTGTTAATTCGAGGGAGGCGTCGTTCATTCGAGGGAAACGTTAATTTTTTGGGTGTAAAATCGATACGTATATACTCAAATAAACGCCCCATAATTTCACTGTAAATGTGGAACTACTACAACGCATAATCGTCAAAATCGGCGTGATCTTAAAGACTTTATTGATCCTAACCAAATAAGAAAAAAAAAGTAATTCTACATTTAAAAATGTGTTGAGAATGATTTTGCTTCCATTAGATTTGTTTACAGTCATTTAACCCCGCGTTTATTCGAGGAAAAAATAAACGCGGGCGTGGGGGCGTTTTATCCGAATAAATGCGATAAATAATTTAATACCTCCTTATATGGATTAAAAGGTGTGTGGAAATTGCGGAGTCCTATTCGGCAAACTGTGCAGTGTAAACAAATCGAATTCAAAGGACGGAGTCTAAAGGGGAATAGACATAAGACTTTCGTGGGCTAACCTTGGTATTTACACCGAATAAATCCAATCCAATCCAACATGTACGGAGAGACTTGATTAAAATGGGACGGACTCACAACAGGCCTATTCGTTATGGTGTAGCTGGAATTGATGGCTCAGAATTGATGGCGGTTCCTAAGAGACTTTTTTTTCATTGCATATATAACTCGGTAAAGCCTATAGATGAAGCATTCCCCGGGGCAATATGATTGAGCGTTTTAATATTGTATCAGTTTGTGTGGGATTTCAGGTTGATCCTGTTGGAAATAAGCTATATTACACTAGATATGGTTAGAGGCCTTCTACATACAAAATTCAATTCATTTTATTTTCCAATTAATTGCATAGTATGTCATACATTGCGTCCTAATGGAAAAATCCAAGTGATTATATATAATCCTATTGGGTTCCGTATACCAAAGTTGACTGAGTTACCGAGCTGTCATTTTTGTTTTATCAGGATGAGGAACGATACGTTTTTACTAAAACTACTATCCAACAATATTAATATTAGTATTCGTTATTTACAATATTTAATCAAATAAGCGTGGCTATTATTATAATGACCGTTCCACTAAGCTCCGCCCCTTGAATAGTATTTGTATACCCTGTTCTGATTGGTTAGTTGTTAAGTTTGAATGACACTCCAGAAAGTTCTATTACAGTATTTCAGTTGGCAAATATAGGCTAAATTTCACTAGTATAGTAAACCGTTTCTCTGATGAAAGTTTCACACGTCTTGTTATATCGTGCAAGCAGAATTGTGATAACTAACGATATCCGGTATTTGATGAAGATTGTTTAATGTAATTTAAATTCATTTATAAGGCTGATTAGGACACACATGTGTCACAACCACCCGACCGCTTTTGACTCGCCTCTTACCGCCCCATCGGAGCCTAAGGCTATCAGAAAACAAGACGGTCTGGACAACTTTAGTTTTATAATTTACATAATTTTGTTATCACTTCTTGAAGATATACAATTAAACGATTCGTAAGTCAATATCACCAAACCTTCGTCAGTGTAAACTTTACATCTCAAAAGTGTTTGATAAACTAGCTTATTTGTTTTATTTCGTATTTAAAGGATATTTTTTTTGTATCAATCTACTGATTAGTAAATCTTGAATAGGAAGACATCATGAATGTTACCAGATTCAGAAAAGGCTTTGGAATACTTTTACAAGAAAACAGTTTTGATTTACGTTTACTCAATAGAAAGTACATTAGGCCTATTTGAATCGTAGTTTTAACCAACCAATTAATTTTCCAACTCACGATTTACCTGTTTAAAAGATTATGGAAAAATCAGCTATGACGGATATTATTAATATTAATAGATTAAGATACTTCAATAACTAATTGCAGTACTAGAGTCGTTCACAGTTTCCATTAGGCATAATATAACTGTTTTTTTTAATATCACGCTTCCAGTCAGAAACTGTATGCCTTTGTATTGAAAACTAATTAATCAGAGAGAAATAAAACATGACTAGAGAGAAAACTAGGTTATAAAAAACCCGATTTGATGGGTACGAACAGGATAGTAAATTAAATTAAATTCACAAAAAACTCATATTTTAGCATTAATTAGACAAAATGGAATAATTAATATTAAGGTATTGAAGATTCTGTCTGCGAATAAATTCACAGACATTCTGCGCGGGGCAATAGCAACACTTGGTTTTTGCGAAATCATCTTCTTTCCCTCCGGCCGTGTGAACTAGACTAAAGACAAAATAGGACTCTAATTCATTTACTGGTTTACACTTTTAAAACATGCGAAATCATACAAACCTTGGCAAATAATATATTGAAAACTGTTCTTACTCTCACTCAACTGAATTTGCTAGGAAGTGCTTAATTTTTAGAAATATCAAGTATAGAGAGTAGAAGTTAGACATCATTTAACTGTAATTAAGTTCCAATAACGACATGGAAACTCCTTCCGTATTGTTTAAATATTTCAACAATCTTAAGTCGCTTGAAACATGCTATTCATAGTGCCTACTCGACATATTCACTCTGTTCTCAGCTTCCCGCTGCGAATTTCATGCATTGAATTCTAATTTTTTTTTCTGAAATATGTTACAGAAAATTGTTTTCGTTTTGAAATTTGATATTTTCTGGTCTATTTAACACCTGATTCTGAGTTAATAAGATTCAGTTATTAACAAAAAGCACAATTCTTGAAATAGTAACAGATGAATGTTTCATTTTAAGTAGTCTATCTTTGGATCTGAACTTGGCGGTCTCAACACGAACCACATTTCATGTTATTCTATAGACCATTGAACTCATTTGCGAGGTCATTAGATAAACTAACATTAGTGTATATTCTCATTTTCTATATCGCCATCAGCGGTGGTTTTATCTTTCCCATTAGTTCAACATATGCTTCTGTAGGTCGTTATATACTTGTAACAATACATGTTAATAGGCTACATAACATATTGAAGTTCGTTATATTCCCAGCGATGCATGCGCCCAGGGCTAGATTTTGAGCAAATACCAAGAGCGACATATTTACACAGAGTGGAACACCAGCAGAGATGAAAGTCGTTGCGGGTGACTCTAGTTAGTTTGTAAATGAGAATAGTCGAAGGAAATGAAATCGTCTTTAGGAGGCTTGAAGGGTGCATCAAAAAGAATTAAAGGATGAATAAAAGGAGTACATTTAACAGGTACGGATTTACACAAATCAAAGGGCAGTTCTATGTACACTACAACCTTGTGAAAAATCAGATCAACATAGTCTATCAAAACTGATAAATCAATTTTAACCATGAATAGGGAACAGGAGCTCCCGAATCTTTGGTATTGTTTTACAAAATAAAAATGCTCCAAAGTGCATTTGGCTCTGTCAAGATTCAAAAATTTGATGCAAAAAAGCCATGATCTAGCCTACCCCTCTTTTTGAGTGAACACAGAATCTCCTTCATGTGACAAGTTTTTAGGATCCTGCCACATTATCATCAGGAAAACAACTTTTGAATGTTTGCCTTCTCACACTACTCTTAAGGAGGAAGATTATGAGTATAAAATGAATGGGGCATATTTCCTGTCCACAATAGGCCTATATGTGACAAAAAAAGTCATTGACCCATATATGGGCATGATAATGTCACATTACACCCACCCATATATGGGAAAATTATAGGTATTTGTTAAGCTTTATAGTGTGAATAAAGCTTTACAGTTTAAGCTTTGCAGTAAAAAATTAGCAATGGTGATTCAAAGTTTACAGGATGTATAAAAGATAGGTAATCAACAGAAAAATTACTCAGTGGTCAAGAGGTCAGTGACACTCCTAAAGTGTATAATCTCAAGCTATGTAAACTTTGAATGGCTAGGCATAACAATCTTAAGGGGAATTAACCTCAGTGGCAGAATATGTAATCTAATCTCAGAAACACAGTACTTGTACAAACTTTTAATTACGTCATCAACTTTACCGAGCAGTAATTGCACCGAAACGCCGCTCTTCAATCTTGAATTATAATGTCTTGTTTGGTGTGTCAGGCAAAACACCGACAAGTGTTGAGCGCCGAAACGCTGATGGAGGAAGTTATTTAGAGTTAAGTCAATTAAGTTTGAAGAATTGTTTTCCATAAACATCGAAATTAAATAAAGAATGTTT